ATAATTACTTTGCCATTGTTCAAGCTAAAACAGTTATCTCCATCTGTAATTTTTATGCACCAACGCTTGGTAAACAATTCCTTGTACTGAGCACATACTTTCAACGATTTGACGACTGGCCCATTATAATGCTCCTTCTTAAAGTATGTACTATTATGCTCACTTTCGTTTTTTGTTTTTGTTGAATTGCTCTCTTCTCACCAAGTCTTCGAACTATTTGCTGCAAAGGCAAGTGAGGCTTCCGAACGAGTTTCTTTAACTGAGATAAATAATTCTCAAATGGAAATGATGAAATATTGTCTAGAGGACCAAATTTTTTGGCATATTTGACAAATGTACCAGCCCATGCATATTATATGTAATAACTTCTTTGCCATAAACCTCCGAGACATCTACAAATAGCAATAACAAACTATGCGCATACGAAGCATATTTCTTGCATAGAAATTCACTTAGCAAGATGCTCATAGCAACAGATAAAAGCATAAAGTTATTATAGAGTGGAGGTGAAAGAATCCCATCAAAGCTAACCATGTCTGTATAAAGCAATAGTTGCCTAAATTCTGTTGCTTTCCAATGTTCAAATTCATGAAATGGCCGTGGCTTACGCGCAAATTCCGATGGAATGTAAGGTCTCATGTCAACCAATTTTTCTGATAGATCTTTGACCACACGTGGGCCAAGTTTGGTGGCTAAAGGTCCCTTGAGCCACATAAAAACCATTTTCTTCATTACGCCAAGACAAACTAAATGCATGTAGTCTGCAGGTACCTGTGATATCATTCCTAATGATAAAATAGCAACAAGTGGGCTTTTTCCATAATGATGTTTCTGATCTTTCATTTCTAGAAATGATGAGTTGTTCTAAGAGCTGCTGCTGTTTCCGGAAAAGTTGTACGCCCGGCATAAAAACCATGTTGTACATATTTATTACATCCATGATATGCACTGTGACCCTAAATACATTTAATAAAAGCTCACGCTGGGGTGTCACAAATCAGAGCAGAAATTTTTATTTCATAACACACATTGTTAAATATGATTCCTGTTTCCTGAAGGTCTTTTATTTCCTCAACAAAGTCTTTCAAAAATGCATTAATATCAGTCGGCTTGCTATTTCCACAGTATAATGCAACTGTAAACGGCTCCCTATTTGTTACAACCACACCATCAAAATGTTCCATTAAACACAGAATTGGCCACAACTGTATCTTTGAACTTTTAAATAATGGCAATCCATCAATATTGAATTGTAACATAATTACCTGATTCACTGTCGTACCTTTAGCAACTAACTGTGACAATCTATTAACAATCCCTTGCTTTATGCCAAAATAACAATATGAACTGTCACGTACCTCTTTCTTGTAGATTTCAGACTGCATTACTGTTTTTGGACTTTTTGGCAAATCAGGGCAAATTTTTCATAAAATAGTCAACAAAGCAGCTAACGCAGTAAGTGTAACATTAAAAGAACATGACCATGATGCCAAATCTGTTACAAGTTCTTCCATCATACTGAACTGAGAGCTTTGGTCAGATTCAGAATCGCTCATAATGGCATTTTCAACTTCGTCATATGCATCAACATCACCCAAAGGTGATGCAAAATTCTCTGATGTCTCACTGCAATTGTTAAATAAAGGGTTGAATAAAGGAGTTTGGCTGCTTAATTTAGTAACAGGAACCACTAATGTTTCAGACAATTGAGGTGATAAGCTTGCTGTAGCCCATTTCTCTCTAACATCAATATTACGCTTTTCAGTGTCAATTATTTCAGTTAAAATATGTTGCACTTCGCCTCGAATCTTTCTTCTTTTTGTCCAGTAACTCATTGCTAAAACTGCCTAAAAGTAGCATAACTTTCAGTAAACAGCACACAAAATAAAAAAATAAAAATATTTATTTTTTACAGTAATGGTTTACCTTAAGATAAATTGCTTGAATAGTTTTTCATCAATTTGAATCCAAAGGGTTCTATTCAGCACTCAATATCACAAGGACCACAAAATCAATCTCACACTAAATATTTACATAAAAATAATCAATTTGTTTGTGTGTGAAACTATTATATATAATAGTTTGATTATACATGCATACATATTGCATACATATATAGTTTGATTATACATACATACATACATACATATATATATATATATATATATATATATATATATATATATATATATATATATATATATATATATATATATATATATATATATATATATATATATATATATATATATATATATATATACATGTGATTTAAAATTTTATATATTTATATATATACATATATTTTTTTGGTAATTGTTATATCCATATTTCCACACTAGTGTGGTTAGGGCAGTTCTTTATAATGACATAAATGCCATTATGAAACAGTTGAAGCAATGTTTTACAACTGAATGCCCTTCCTGATGTTAACATGAGGCAGGTTGTACTGGATTACATGTTATCAGTAGCAGGATAACCTGATTTGACATAAGGATAACCTGACCTGACTGTGCATATAATATTGTTATTATAATATTAATAATCAAATATATATATATATATATATATATATATATATATATATATATATATATATATATATATATATATATATATATATTTATACATATATATATATATATATATATATATATATATATATACATATATATATATATATATATATATATATATATATATATATATATATATATATATATATATATATATATATATATATAAAAAACATAATATTATATACAATGTTTTATAAATATAAATATATATAATATCATTATTATATATTGATATCAGACTATATCTGTAATTGTAGATTTCCTCAAATATTAACTAATTAAATATTATAAATATTAACATGACATGCTTCCTTTAGCCGATCAACCACACGAAAAAATATACATGCACTGTAAATGCGTACTGGTGTACCTTTGCAGGACCGCCTACAGTTTACCAGTGCTGGTGCGCCTATATAGGACCTATGTAAGGCCAACGACGGCATACCAGCGCTGGAGAACCGTTATCGGCGTAACTATGGTCCAGACATGTCTAACCAGCACTGGCGCGCTTGGTATAGTTTAGTGTTGGACCTTAATTGGTACGCCAGAGCTGGCCAGCCAGCAACGGACCGATTGAGTGCTGCTGACTGGGACATTATGATTATGAAAAATGTCGTTTATTATCTTATCATTATTATATTTGAAAATAATTTTTTTAGATAACTAATAATGTCAGATCCTATTTGTGATCCATCAGATCAAAAAAAACAAAAGTTAGAAGAAGATGAAGTTCAAATAGAGCCGGAATTACTCAAAGAAATTGAAACTTTACAGCAATTGGCTGATATTGATGATGTTGATGTAATGATGTTATTGAAATCATCGACAGATTATAATGGTTTAATAAAAAGTATTAGAACAAAGTATAATAATTTATTACTTGGTAGATGTTATTATGTTAGCACGTTAAATTAAAAACGTATTTACGATTTGCATCATAAATCTTTATTTGATTTATATCAAAAATTTAGTTTTTCTGTTGCAAGATAACATCTTGAAATGAAAGAGTTACAAGATATTTGTTATTCTGAAAAATTTATTTTTAATGCAAGATTGGATCCTGAATTAAAAGAGATAGGAGATATTTGTTATTCTATCCATAAAAAATGTTATCCGAAAAAAGAAGTTTTGCCTATTTAGCGTATATAAGTTACCTTGTAATTTGTAAATTATATAAAATGTTAAATAAATTTGATAAACAAGTTCGATATTTAAATGATGATTATATAAGTGATATACAAGATTTTGGGTGTGATTTAAAATCTTTAGAGAAGTGGTGAATCTTTTGAGTTGTTGAGCAAAAATATAAAGCTATGATTTTTATTATATTGTATTGATAATTATATAAATGCAAAAAAATATTATTTTAGATGGAATTAACAGAAAAAATAGTAAATGAATTTATGGAAAAAATTTTATCACACAATGAAATTTATCCGTTTACGTTAGAAGAATTGATTATTCAAGCTAAAGAATTTCAACCATTTGTATGTGAAAAATGTGAATTATTGAATGTAAGATGTCAGAATAAAATTTTTGATAACGATGAGTGGAATATGCTTTTTTGATACGATTTTATGAGATCAGAAGATCAGTTTGTTGTTATGTTGACACAAGGATTTAAAAACATTTTTTACATACAATATATCGGTTTTTACCACAAAACTTTAAAATATTTTATGATTTTTTTAAAAATTATATAGATGTAGATGCTTTCGTTTCACGCGTTAACCAATTGAACAATGAAAATAAAAATATTAAAGATGATAATGAAAGAAAATGTTATTATTGTAATAATCTTTATTAATTTGTAATTTTTTTTTCAATTATAAGGAATAGTAAAGAAAAACATGACAAAGATTTTCAAATATTTGGAAGATGTATACAAATAAATACTGATATACAAACCGATGAGTATGTTGACGAATCAGTAATAAATTTAGAACATCAAAAAGCATACAAAAGTTTAAAAGAAATTCTTTTAAAAGATGTGGGAATCAAATATTTACGTGAAAAATTTCGATATCAAACTATAGCTAATTATTTTGTTACTAGTTTGAAGGAAGTATATTGGACAGCTCAATCTTTATCTAGAGAGAAATGTAATATAAAAATACAAACTCATTTGGTTTGGATTAAAACTATGATTGAACTTTGTGATAAAGGAATAATAATATCAGAATATAAAATTAAAAATCATAATTATTGTACTGAGAGTCATAAAAGTTTTTTGAAATTTAAAATTGAATTAAAAAATAATATGATAGAATGTTTAAATTTGTATACTTGTTGTCCTTATTGTAAATATATTAAAATATGTCAGTATTGTATATGTTAAATTTTTTTTAGATGATAACAGAAGCTAAACTAAATAATATTTTGGAATTGTTAGAAATGGATGCCATTTCAATTCGTAAAATACAATTTGTATTTATGAATTACATGTTGAATGAATTACACAAAAAAATGGATTGTGAATTTAAAGACGAATATAATTGGGGTTCATTGATATCAACAAATAAAAGACAAGTACCAGTGGAAATAGCTAGTTTTGGATTAATTTTAGCTTTATTTAAATTTAAAAAAGGTGAAATTCTAACTGATGATTTTTTTGAATTTTATGATTTTTTTAAAAATTATCATGACAAAGAAAAATTTATTTGTCAATTAAATGAAAAAATTGAAGATAGCAGGAAACGGTATTATGATAAACGAAAGTTGACTGTATTAAAACTCAATGACGTTATGAAAACTTTGAGCGAACGAAATTGGATTGAATCTTCAGTTTGTAATACATATTCAGTTACTATGATGAAATTTACTTTATCAGATTTGTACGAAAAAGCTTTAGCATATAAAGAAATTTGTGGAAAATGTAAAATTATTAAAAATGACGAGCAACTTGAAAAATCTAATGTTTCAATTCCAAAAGATTCTAAATTAAATGTTCCAATAGATTGGATAGATTTTTTTTATTATCAATTTCCTAATAATTATGTAATTTTATTTTTGTTAGATGTATTGTTGTTAAATTTTCCATACTATAAAGACAAAATTTTTTATACGTTTTATTTGTTTTTTGAAAATTGTGATAAGAATTTAATTATTAATCAAGTCAATTTAAGTGTATGATTATGTAAACAAACTTTTTTATTAATAATAAAAGATTATTTTTTTAGATGGAATTTACAGAAATAATATTAAATTGTGTAATGGAATCTTTTAAAAAAATTTGTGAAAAAGACAAATTGACAGTGGCAGATTTACAATTTAAATATATGAGATATAACGCAGATTACACTTTAGGAAACGTTTCTGAAATGGAAAATATTTTTGAAGAAACAATTAACTTTGTTAACAATCATCGTGTTGTTGTGTTGATGATTTTACAATATATAAGACGAAATTTTCATGTTTATTTAAATGTAAATTTTAACATGTTTTATCATTTTTATGAAAATATGAGCGAACCAATAAAAAAAAATGGATTGAAGAAATACAAATGTATATTAATCTATGCATAAGTTGTAGATACTATTTAAAAGAAGATACAAACAAAGACGATTTTTATTAATTTTTGTTATATTAATATAATTATTATTTTAGATAAAAAATATAAAATATGGATATGCGAAGAAAATATCAACAACATGATTCATTAAAAAAAATATTATTCAAAAAACAACGCGAAAAAGTTACAAATGTATTATCGTCTACATTATGTGAAATGCATAAAGAAATAGATTTGATGATGTGGTAAAAGTTATATACTTGATGCTATTGCTTCTAGCGATCAAATATTTAAAAATATTGCAGTAACAGCTAGTACAGGAAAAGCGGCTCATCAAATTAAAGGTATGACTGTGCATAGTTTTGCAGGTATTAAAATAGGTACAAAATCTGTCGAATATTATTACAAACACATGTAAGTAGATGTTTTAGAAAGATGGAGAAATACACACGTTTTGATTATTGATGAAATTTCAAGGCTCAACGCAGAAACCTTTGATTTATTACATCATTTAGCGTGCAAAATAAATCAATGCAATGACGAATTGTTTGGTGGGATACAAGTTATTACTTGCGGTGATTTCTGTCAACTGCCACCTGTAAAAGGTGAATATGTTTTCAAGTCTGCAATATGGAAAAAATACATGTTTAATGTTATCGAACTTAATGAGTCTTTTAGACAAGAAAACATTAAATTTTTTAACGCTTTAAACGAAATACGAATTGGAAAAGTATCTGATAAAACGGTCGATTTTTTAATGACTAGACATTATGAAGTTGATCATAATATAAATTCAAATTTCATACGATTGTTTTTTACAAACATGGAAGTTGATTTTTATATAATTGCGTCAATTAATGAGTATTCTTTCTGATGAACGTCGGTTTCATT